TTCGCTCTTCTATATGTTAGATATATAATTTTTATTCAAAGCAACATTATAACATCCCATAAGTTTGACTGAGACTTGGCTTGATGGTTTAACAGTGAATGAACTGAAGAATAAATGTCTCGTTTTTACATTCTCTCTGGCCTGCCAGGGAATGCGGTGGTGATGCTATCATCCTCCCAGGCAAATTTTATTTGATTTATTTTTTTCAAATATTGCTTTCATTTTCTATTTCTGGTGCTTTTAACATACATGAGGGTAATAAAAAAAAAAACTAAAGAAGAAAAAAAAAGCAAAACAACAAAATACTGTACATCTAGAATTTCTGGTACATGCACACCTTCTCTCTCAAACTTCTATAACTCTTCAGTTTCTTTTCAGTAGATAAATGTGATCTAGTATTTCTAAATTGTTAACCAATTGAGCATTGGTGCACGTACCTTACACCTTACATCTACCAATGGGTGTTTGGTGGATGATGTGACTATACTGTAATTTCAATTTTTCCTTGTGCTCTCTTACTAGCTATTGTAACACCATAGTTAGAAAAGAATATTATAGAAGCATCTCCAACCCACCCTTTCTATATAGATTGCTTGAAAATGTGGCGTATCATCAACTACAATTATATCCAACCTAAAATTGTTTATTTAACACCAGTTTGGGTTTAGAACCAGCCAAGGTTTTAGATCTCCGTAATCTTAATGCAGCTTTTGACATGGTTGACCAGCCATGCTTCTTTATTTCTGAAACATCTTGTTCAGAAATAAATCTTGTACTAATGTGTTAAATGTTCTTAATTGGTTGTCTTTATATCTTATGCTCAGAAAAGCATGTGTCTATTGGTAAATTTGAATCTGAAAGGGTAAAATTTTGATTATGGTGTTCCACACGGATCCACTGTTGGGCCCGTTTCAATCAATCTCTATAGTTCGTCTTGGTTCGGTAATTATACATTATTTCTTCTATCATCACTAAGCCAGTGAAACACAGCTGAACATTTCAATTTCTGCTAATAACATGAGCTTTGTTAAAAGGGTTCATGTAGGCCTTGCTGATATCAAACACTGGCTGTTCAGGGACTTTCTGAAGTTAAATCCAGACAAAACTAAGCACATTTGAAGCACATTTTATTTCCTATTTTGAACCTTTTTGGTAAATTAAAATGAGCACCTTAGAAGCCCACAGTAGTGTGACCTGAATGCCAACACACCAGAAATTAATCACTGTCTTCATTCTGTCACTTAGACATCATATCTAAAGTCAGATCCCTCGCTATTTCATTTCAAGTAGACTGCTGTGATGCACCTCTGGTAGTAAAGCCCATTATTAAAAATAATCTGATCTCAAATATAGAATCTGAGTTGTTAACTAAAGCCAGAAGGCTCAAGTCTGTACATGTCTATAATGATTACCCTATAAACAGAAAACAAATTTTGAAGTACTAATTCCAAAGTCTAAAATAGCCTGGTCCTATGGTGATAATTCTTTGATGCTCATTGATTATGCCCAGGTCGTTAAGGCCTTCAGAACATTTTGAACCAACTTTCACAGTTTGTAGAACCTCCCTCAGTATGTAAAACCTTCTTCAGGAGGGAAAATGTCTGTTTTCTTTTTAAATTTATCGGTGTATCATCACTGAGGAGGAATTATGGTCCAATTATCTTCTAAAGGTTGTTGATTGCATTACAGTTTAAATGCATTTATCTCTGCACAGAATTCTAAAGATGAATGAGTCATGGTTCAGTGAAAGTGTAATTGGGGTTTGGTTCTCCTACCATTCATTACCAGCCATTCTGTTGTAAATCGTATTCTGTGTTTGGATTTATGGACCTGCTGATGAATCAGTTTGGACCAAGATGCATCCTTTGGGCAGATGGACACATCTGGTCCTGCAATGCTTTGGTATCCAGAGTACATCATTGTCCACTCAGTGACTGCAACATGCCAAGCGCCTGTTCATCTGGTTTTCTTCCAACCATGGTGGCCGGACATCTTTATTCAGTTCTAATCTGTTCATTTTCGGTTAAAGAGGAGACATTTTAATCCACAGTCCATCAAAATAAGCCTTACTAGTGATTTTTTAAAACTGCTGATTATCATTTTTTATGTTTTGCAGTCGCATTAATGCATTCTGAGTTTGAGATGGCAATGTTATCTTAATTTACCTTTATGTTTCTCTTTAGGTGAAGAAAAGGACCCAAACAAAGCTTAATGCTTTCAGGCAAGGAAGAAACATCAGACCCACCTGTGCTGAGACCACCGAAGATTTTACATTAAAACATCTAACATAACATGTTTCTCTAGAATAAAGTATAAACCTCTTAAAGTTTGTTTAACCAGAAGTGAAAGATTAACTCATTTTCCTTTTTTAAATAAACGAGTTCAGCCTGTTTGGACATTTTTTTCATATAAGATCATATAATGTTAAAAACATCAATCCAGCTCAATAAACATAAAGTTACAAATGTATTAATATTTGAATTTATGTTTATTTTGTATTTAAAATGTTGTTTTTAGTCCAAAAGCTTCTGGTGATCACAGCAATTATAAAACTTTTCACTTGATTTTCAGTGGATAATAGAAATGTAGTGTTCCTCTCTTCATTTATGAATATCAAATCCATGTTTCTGATTTTCTCTTTTTAAATAATTAAGATTTCTGAACCAATCTAACCAAAGTGCTAAGATGCAATGATAGTGAATCTCCATCAGAGGTCAATGTTTGTCAGCTAGTAGTAAAGTAATATGTCTTTTTACAATTTTTATTGATTGTTTTGACACAACAGTCCACTCAAAGTCAATGATTTTCAAAACAATTAATGCGGAGGCACCAATTGTTAAAATGACATATTTTGTTTGCAAAAGGATCTAACTCTGTCAAAACATTTACAATATGGATCTAAAAGTCATCAAACAACACAACTTGCACACAAATATATCACAATCACTCATTACACAAGAGGCATATAAAATACTGCACATTGAGTGCAGTATTGTAAAAAAAATCCACTATCAGATATGCTGTGGTGCTACTTTTATTGATCATTCATTCTTTTTTTTTTTTTTTTTTTGATTGTAGCTAACAAATAAAATAAACCAATAGAAAATATTAGGGCTGCAAAAAAAAAAAAAAACTTATTCTGTCAAAAGCATGAACATATGACACTGAGGAGTTAACAGATCAACTATCGCATTTTTCAAAATTTATATCCAAATCCGTATCCAAAGTAGAGAAACAAAAACAAAATGATGAAATTGATTACATGTCAGCTTTGATCCGCAGCTGCAACAGCAAACTCTGAACGTGGGGTGGCAGATGTTACTACAATTTACTCTTGTACCCCCACTGCTAATCTCTCTCTCTCTTTTTCTCTTGTCTGAGATCTGTTGCCCCAAGCAGTGATGAGCAGCCCTCCAGTCTTCAAGCCCAGTTAGACGTAAAGTTGTTACATCAATCGTCATTTAGCTGGTTTCAAGCTGTGTTTACTAGTTACCAATATCAAACGTTTGCTAAACGTTGAGTGCTTAGGTTCAATTGAGAAACGTAAATCCAACTTTCATTTTCGCATCATAATTCAATGATAATCTAATGTTGATGTACAACATTGTTTCAATGTTGCATCAACTTTAAGTGCCTGCTGAGAATGCTACTGTATGACTGACTGAACTATCCAGACACAAAAAAAATATCCAGCTCATTAATGCATCGAAAAATTGATTGCGCTAATGTTTTGGTTCAATAAAGAAATAATAAAGGGATAACTTCAAAAGCCCAAAAAATACATATAGAATAAGAAATAAAAATAAAATTCATAACTGTATAAGAAGTTAGGAAAATAAAATTATAACGTTGTTCTCTTAAAAAAATATATATATTTATATATATAGAAGTAGACCTACGAGGGAACACTGAGATATCCATAAGTTATACTCTTCTGTCTCTTCTCTCTTGTTGAAAAGGCCACATAGCCTCATTTATATCACACTTAATATGTTCCCTCGGGATGCAACTGGGAAGAAAATCTTCTATCATGCCTCATCTACACTTGACATGCCTATGCATCTATATCTTGGGCAGCAGCAAGGGCACCTGGTCATAGGGGCAGTGATCATATACCTTCCATATTCTTTCACTGAAGAGATCCTCTGTAGGACTGTAGAGAGTATGAAGGAAGAAATAACACCATCATCCTAAGGTGCACCACAAACCACTCACTATCTATACAAGAGTGATAGGATGCCACCTTGTCCCAGATGATCAGAAACAGTGGCATGTCAGGCCTGAACAGCCCTCTTTCCTGAGGCAGGATGAGCCTGTCATGCAGGGTGGAATGAAATGAGGGACTCGTTAAATGCTGCTTCTTCATGTTTGGTTCTAGTTCTGGGTGTAAAGAGTAGGCTGAAACTAGAAGACCTGAGAAGCTGGAAGAGAGTAGGAAAGTTAAGAAACAGTTCTGTCGGTACTAAATCAGGCAGAGATCCGGCAGGAGTCCGAAAACAGGTCAGGCAAACAGATTAGACGGCACTTGGCAGGCTCAGAGGCGGATAGATAGAACAGGTCAGGTAGTCAGAATGCAAATATAATATATTAAATATATAAATGAACAAATAAATTAAAGAATAATGTAAAAGAAGCTAAAGTTTCTTTAAACTGTAAGAGCATATCTGAAAAAAACAGAGAACAACTTAGTTTCTTGTTGTTTCTTGTATTAGATATTTTGATTTTGTGATTTTCTTATTTAGCTTTATTCATCTCTTATAAAACAATATTTCTGAAGCTTCCATTTCATTTCTGTATCTGGTTCAGTTTCTTGGTCCATTTATAAAGAAGGGAAAGTGAAACTCTTGCAGAACCCTCCTCCTCCTCATTCTCCTCCTCCTCCTGTGGTGTTTTTTTTATCCTTTTAGTGTCAGAGTGGGTTCAGACCTGAACCATGGAGGACTCAGACTGTCTGCCCGTGACCGTGGAAGGGAACTGGAGTTCGGTTCAGAGTAAGACGGTGAAAAACAAACTACTGCTTTACTTCCAGAGTAAAAAGAAATCGGGTGGAGGAGAATGCCGGGTGGAGGTGGAGGAGGAGGCGCCCAGAGCCTCCATCTTCTTCAAATCAGAGGCGGGTGAGTTTCTGCGGCCCAAAGCTTCTGTTTCTGTTTTTTAAAAAGTTAATGTGTGTCAAGATGGCCCTAAGTTTATCTTTCTGACTTCAAAACGTCTATTTCTACAAAAGTCCAGTTCTCCCTGTGGAAACTACGTATGATGATTAATATTCTTCTGGGGTAATAAACAATCTTCAGATGTCAGCTGAGGTCCCAGCATGCAGCTCAGCTCCTGACTGTAGTCAGGATGAGTCACATGGCTCCAGCAGTCTGCTGATCTAATGTCTCCACAGCTTCTTTGTCCCCAAATTAAGCTCAGGTCACCTCTGGGTTCAAAGGTCAGCCTGCAGGGAGGATGCTGGTGACTAATATATCAGATTAGAGTCATTATACAGCAGCTGGTTAAATATTAGCCAAGATTGCACAGGTAAGTCAACACAGGTGAGCCTGGGATCGCCCTACTTGGAAACAACGACCCGCAGGAGAAAATAAATGCAATGCTGAATTAATCCATCGACATGAAATGGATAATTGACTTTCTAAACCCGCCAAGCTCATTCAAACTGTTGGTGTGAGTCTTACCAAGTTCTTGAAATTGATGTTGATTCTACAGTGTGTCATTTTCAGGACAAGTAATGGTCAGAATGCAATGAAATTAACAGCTACCCCCACCTTTTTACCATCATGGTAAAAAATTGGCTTCTGTAAAATCCACATATCCTATCTTGTCAAGTGATGATGAGGTTTCTCTACATAGATCATCTGAAAACAATTTTGTTTGTTTGTGTTAGATATAGATTTTATAGAGGACAAACGCAGTCGCAGTCACATTCAAGCAAAATAGTGATCTCTGCAGTAAACTGTTTTTCCTGACTACATAGGCTTCATACATAGGCACCTCAGCCACATTTGATGGATGCACAGCAGTTAACTATCAAATTGTGTTTTCTGCATTTTTTGGTTTTCCTCGTTGCATAAGAGTTTTCCATGTTTTCATGTAATTTAACATTGTGAGCTGTCCCACAGAGGCTACGTTCACACTGCAGCCTGAAGTAACCCAAATACGATTTTTTTGCCCATATGCGACCTGGATCTGATCTTTTCATGACAGTCTGAACAACACAGATCCGATTTTTTCCAATCCAACCCAGGCCACTTGGCTATGTCGTCCTGAATCTGATTTGAACCTGATCTTTTCAAATGCTACCTGTGTCTGAACGGCCAGGTCAGATTCATCCGACCTGAACGTCATTAATACCCTACATAGGTCACTATTCAGCGTCTTGCTACTCAGAAGCTGCAAGAAAAACAACAACCATGGCAGATGATGATGCGGACAGCAGTATTTATGTTTAACCATGTGAAAAGATTGAGTTTTTATGGTTGGAAAAGACCGCTAGATGTGCGCCAGTACTACCATCCATGTTTACTTTCGTAAACATAGAGCACGCTGGCCTGTGACATCATTGCGTCCTCTACTGCGCATGCAGGACAATTGTATGACTGGAGTTCACACAAGAGATCACATACAAGTCGCATATGTTGGGTTCAAAAATGCAGGTTTGTAAAAGAAGAACTGAAATACACAGTAAGGGATTTTCAAACAGTTTCCTGCAGGAGGAGAGACAGTTGCACCCAAGACTCAAACACTCTCTCTCAACCGGACCTCCTCTGCAGAGCGCTTTATTAACAGAACATGACGCATGGTTACAAACAGAGTATTGTTCTGACAGAATAATTGATCAGTTCATAAAGACAGGATGCTTCACCAGAATCACAAGGCAGGGTGGTCTAATGACTGAATCACAAGACAGAGTGGAGCAACCCCTTGCTCAAATGTTTCATAAGCACACATACATTAATTTTATAATCATCATTGAATAAACCTAACAGCATATATTTTGCAAATATGAACGGCAAAGCAAAAAAATCGGATTTCACAAAGAATTGGAATTGAGCATCAAGGCAGTGTGAACGTAGCCAGAGACAAAGTTTAAGTTCTTACATGTTGTTAATTGCATTTGATAAGATGCCGCTACTTCAGCTGGCAAAGGTTAAACATAACAATAGCTGATGACTGGACCTAACCTGATTCAATGGTAGTTTAACACACATTTAATGGAAACAAAGAATTTTATTGTTTGTTTTAAATCAATGTACTGTCAGTGATACAACTTCAATTCTTTAGCATATCACTCTCGACACCGAGTTGGCCTCTGCCACAGTACATATTATTTTGCAGTATCGGCAGTGTTATTTTTTGTGTGTAATATGTTTAGATTTTTTTTGACTGCATTCCATTGATGATGTCTTTATATATACTGTAGGCCTACTCATGCTAATGTTTGAACCTGGGCTGACTTAACTCAGACTCAATCCCCCGCCCAAGCAAAAAAAGAGGGTTCGTGCGTAAGGGTAGTATTTAGGGGCCGGTTTGGGACTGGGCCTCAGGGTGAAGGCCCCTACAGCAAATTATATCACCTGTGGTGAAACCTAAAACCCTGGATATCAGATAGTTGAAGAAATGAATTAGAATAGCTGCTCTCAAATCTGATTAAGTTAAGCTCAATTTCTGAAATAGGGTCTAATTTAAACCTGTCAATAAGACCACTGACCCCAGCATCAGCAAATCTTAACAGAGAACATTTGGGATGTGGTGGAATAGGGGATTCTGTGTCATGTCAAGATGAACCAAAATCTCTGGGGAATGTCTGTGTACCTCATTGTATCTATGAGATGAAGTAACAAGGTCGTTCTGAAAGCAAAAGGAGGTCCAATCAAGTAAATTAATGGTATACCTAAAAAAAATCAGCAGATGATTGTGCATAAATTTGTTGACCATTTTTTTTACTTATTTGATGCATTTTTTAAATATTTTTCAGTCAGAGAGCGAATCCTTGTAAAGGAACATCATGAAATCATTGTGGAAAACCATCCTTTGACATTGCAGCTGAGTTTTGACCCAGAGGGACGACCCTCACAGGTAAACCTGCTGCTCAAGCTCCAAGGGCAACAAGTAGGTTGTCATAAAGAACTTGATGTCCTAGATTTGTTTGGCGCATGTATTGATTTATGATTTATAAATCAAATTTTAGTGGCAAGGCAATTTAAAGGGTTGTACATGAGAAGAAAAAGTAGATTGTACATTGGTTTTTAGTTCATTCCTTAAAGCGTGGTTGACACATTTTTCCACGAAAATAATGAAAAAAAAGATGTTATATTTCATGCTATATACTCTTAGTGGCTGAAAGTGAAGATAATGTGAAAATAACATGTTTTTTTAGATTTGTGGTAAAAACTGCAGGTACAAGAATAGAAAATGTAATATGTTTCGCCTGCAGTTTTTAATATTTTTAGTTAATGTGGTTATATTTAAACTGTTTCACCCCAGTTCAATAGGTTTTAAGTGACGTAATAATGAGCTCACTCTCTTGTCCATCTGCATCTCTCGTCCATCAGAGAATTTGTGCTTTTGGCAACAAGAGCTGTATAAGCTGTATAAAAATGCTGTATAAGTACAGACCACTTGAACATTCATATTCGTAAGGATGATCTTTTTTTGTTTTATTGATTCTTGAATCCACAAACATATTCAGGTCAGATATCTTCTTATATGCTAGAAATGTGACTGAAATCGGTGTTATGATATTAGGATAAAAGTTATCAATTAATTAATTAATCTAAAGTCGACTGATGTCATGGATTGACCAACAACTAGTTGATAAGAGGGCATTTTCTAAGGTCATTTTCCAAGAGGGCATTTGATAAGCAAGAGTTTTATATTGCATCAATAGGCTTTTTCTAAAACATGAAAGCCTAAGAAATTTTTACAATATGCTGAGTCAATAAAACAAGTATATGATAAGTATTCATTGTGCCAGATGTATTACATAATGATGAACAAACAAAAAATATGTTCTAACATATTATTTCATATTGATGAGATATTACAAAGCAGGAACTTATCAAGGTACTGAATAAAAAAAAGATTTATAAAAGATGATAAACACGTGATTTCTGAGGTACAGAAATGTAAAGTTATCATACAAAGTATATTTACATAAATGTAAAGCTGTCATTAAAAGTGTATACCTCGCTTTGATAATTTGTAGGACAATTTTTTACTTTGTTTCAATCATGTGAACATTAACTTTGATTGTACTAGTTTATGGTTTTATGTTATCTTCTGAGGACAATAAGGAATTGCTGGGACCAAAATAACCAACTAATATTAGTGATACAGTTTAGAGGTGTGCATTAACTTTAAGCTAAGGTTAGTGTTAAAAATATGCTGGTATTCATATTTTTGTATGTCGTGCTCAGAGTTTCTTTTTTTTTATTAACCTATTCACCACTTTTTGAATTAAAAAAACCTTTGGTGACCTCTGGAAACTTTGATTAATCTCTTCAAAATGATTGTGCCAAAAATAAAAATGTTCTGATGATCTTCTTGTTGTTCAATCATCTCTTTGTGTGTTCTTTTTTTTTACAGACCCCGCTAAACAAAAGGGATGATAGCTTAGGTAAAACCTTAACTTTGATGTTGTGAACAGCAAAGTTCCTGCTGCAGCATGTTGGGTTTGATCCAGATCTGATCATGCAGGACAATACCAGTTGGCATTTGGACTCAGTTTGTCTTTCTTATCAGTTTGGCTACTTATTTTCATGTAAAGCAGAGGGAGGTCTACAGCAATAGTTAATAGGAATCAGTCCAGAGGTGTGTTTCACAATGCAGGCTTACTGGAAAGTCTTTTAAAACCTGAAATCAGGGAAACCCAGAGTTTTACATTTCAGAAAGAGAGTTTACTCAGCCTCTGTTTCTGTTGCCAGGTTAGCTCCCCAGAGCTAATCTGGTCAGAGATTTTGTTTAGTAAACTCAGGGTCTCCTCTTTTTCCACCATCCTTAGTTAATCACGTTTTTTTATTTCCTGATTTACTCAGGAGATTTTTTTGTTAATTTTGTACTTACAATAAAAAGGGGCATTAAAGGGACTTAGAATGGAGAGTTTTCCTTCAACTTTAATTAAAGTTACATATTATAAAGCTCATGTAACAACAATAAACCATAAAAATCTAATCAACTGTTGGTTTATTTTATGTCTTCATTTTTACTCAGATTCTAATTTGGATCCAAGGGCTGCTGTTGTATTGAGCAATGTCTCAGAAAACCTGTCAAAAGATCTTCTGCAGATGTTGGTGGAGAGCATCTCTGGACTGGATGAGAATGACTTCAGTCTGGTGATGAGGGAATCCAACATGGCTGTGGTGACTTTCATTAACCCTACAGGTATACATCATAACTCAAAAGTCCCAATCTTTAAGAAATTTGCGAAAATGTAAGTTTCTTTAACTGTATCCCGTAAATAATAAACAGCACAATGCAAACATTACATTGTATCATCAAATTTTAAAAACCTTAATCTTTTTACAATAATTAAGCACCCAACCTTATATTTATTTTAACTTATTCATTTATGTAACCTAAATTGTAAATGTTATATCGTTAAATTATATTTCTCTGGCAATTATACATTTTATATTAATATTTCATATCATAATCAAATCATGCAAAAACTAGTTTTTAATTCTTTTGATCTATAAGACTAACTTTAAACTTATACAAATTACTGTTAATATAACCAAAGAATAGCATTTGAAAAAACCCCATCAGATTTCATAATAAATCAATTAATCTATATGTGATTTAACTAAATCAGAGTACATTGCAGACATAAATTTACTCCTACACCAAACAATAAATAAATGAAATACGAGCGGCATTAAACAAGCGATCAACCCTGTAGCTTGGCTTATGCTAACGGCTTACAGTCTGGGAGCAAACAGAGCAGTTACTATACCAAAATTGTAAAAAAAATATTAAAACATTTTGCATTACAGATGAAGAACCTTTTTTTTGTCTACTAATATGCTCTATCCAGAAGTCTTGAAAAGGCAGTTTGAGCTTCACTTGGTTTAAATTCATTGTGAAAACTTCTCTAAGGAATCTTTCGCCATCCAATTATTAATCGATTAGTCAAAATTAAAATCTACAGATTAATCGATCAGCAAAATAGTCGATAGTTGCAGCCCTAATTAATTGATTGAATTTTTTTTCACAATTTGAGTCATTTAAATTTTAAGTACTGTAGGCATATGGTTTTTCTTTTTTCGGGGAGATCTTTCAGTTGTGCATAAAATTTTGGGGTAGGGCAGAGCTTTTAGCTTCATTGCGCATCCTGCATTGTGTAGAATAAAGGGGTAAGACTGTTAGCCTTTAATGACCACCTCCTGATTGTGAATTGAATGGTTGGACAAAAATGAAACTTGTTTGAAATTCACTCGACCATTGTGAGGCGATTGTGAGCATTTCCTGCTGTTAATGCAAAGCTACTAGCAACTAAAGTCTGATTAGTGCTTAGAAACCAGGTCATCTGCGTGTGTGTCGCAGTGATATAGATATGCTCCACCCTTCTGCAGACACTCTGGGGGACGTCTTCAAAATTGTAGGTGACCACAGACAGTGCTGCAGAAAGGAGGCCTCTGATTGGTCAGATCTACATCCGCTCTACACTATGCGTATTTCCTGTTTGGTACCTTACCGTCTTGTTTTGTTTGTATGACCGCCATTGTGGAAAACGGCTCATAAAGATGGACCAGCAAGAAGAGCGAAATGAGCAAGAATGCTGGGACCCTTTTTCCACCTGGATCTCCACTCTTTTTCGCCCTCATGTCCCTCCGTTGTCGCACAAACATTCCCCTTGCATTTTACCACTTCCTCCCTGCCTTGGCCGTATCTAGACCCACAGCTAGATTGTGATTATCCTTCTAGCATTGTGGCCTGGAATAACAGCGCAGACCACGCTTCAAAATTGGGCATAAATCAAAAATATCTGCGACAAGCTCACTGTGACACACTGCTGCGGGAGGATAACCAGCCCTTGAGAATTTATTTCCCTCAACCTTGTGCACTGTGCATGTGCAAACAAGGGAATTGTTCACTGACTTCCCATTATTCATTTGAAACTTAGTCAAAATACATTTATTAGTATATAAAACTTCATTTTGGATAGGCATTATTCATTTTAAATATCCGAAAATCCACTTTAACAAGTTGTAGAATTAGTAGTTGATATCTGTAATGGCATTTCTACCAGAGCATTCAGCTGCTCTGCCCCCCACCTGTGGAACTACCACCCCTACTTAGAAATGCAGACTCACTTCTCCATTTCAAATCAAAGCTCAAAACTAATCTTTTTAAGATTGCCTATTCTCTTAAATATCAACTTCCCTGTCCACGGCTTTGTATTTGTAAATGATTTTATTCTGTGTTTTGACTTTGTTTTGTAGAAAGGCACTTTCTAAATAAAATGTATTATTATTATTATTATTATTATTACTAGTAGAAATATTTTTTAGGCAAGGATTGGATTTCTTGATATCTAGAATGTTATATTCATTTTTGATATCTAAAATTATCTTAATGACTAGTAGTAACTGGATAATGAAGATCTGAAATTAGAGTTCATCCTCGTCAGAATTCAGGTTGAGATGTCCAGAAATGTTAATTTGGATAAAAAGAACGTAATTTTAGATATCTGGAAGTAAATGCCCAATACACATAAATTGGATACTTGACATTATTTGTGATAGCAAGAATTACATCTGAAGATATCTGAAATGTTCATTTTACATGTTCAAATGTTGATTTTAGTTGGAACAAATGCATTTGAGATATCTGGAATACGTATTTAGTCAAACTAATAAATGTCAAAACAGCCTCTTAAAATGTGTAAAGATTTCTAAATATCTGAAACATTATTCTTGTATTTTTTAAATCCTGAAATTTAAATTTTACAGTCAAAAATGTAATTTAGAAATCAATAATTAAAGTTCTGACTAGTAGGAATGTGGATTTGACCAGTTCGATGATTCCAAATCATTTTACAAAGCGGTTCACCTGCTCCCTGTTATGGGATCAAGTTACTGGGACATCCCAGTCCCAACACCTGTGCTTGGGTTTGAATCCTGGTAGTGTCAGAAAAGGCAGCCAGCATAAAACTTATGCCTGGGGCAAGTTGTACAGATCTGCTGTCACAATATCCAAATAAGGGTGATGTATTCACATGATGGTGTTTGTTTCTACTGGAACACATTGTAGTTATTCGCTACTATTTCAGTCCTAAAAAAGTGAACGCGAGTGATTTTGCAGATGCAGACAAATTTATAACCATGAGCCAGACCAGCACAAAGATGAAGAGACAAGGAATAAAGGCTTGGCCAATAGGGGAAGTGAAGATGCTCCAAGGGGAGAGTTTTGCTCCAGCTGTCAAAGGTACACATTTTGAATTAATTTGACTGTATGATCTGGTTGAACTGTAAAGTGCCTTGAGATGACTTGTGTTGTGAATTAGCACTATTTTAATAAACTGAATTGAAATTGAATTGAATTATATTGCTTATTTAAAAAGGTAAGCTATACATATTTAACCAATAATAGATTCCATTTTCCCTGTCAGATACTAATTCAGATCCAAGCACTGCAGTGTTGTTGGAGAATGTCTCAGAAAACCTGTCAGAAGATCTTCTGCAGATGCTAGTGGAGAGGACCTCAGGATTGGAAGAGAATGACTTCAGTCTGGTGATCTTTAAGGAATCCAAAATGGCAGTGGTGACATTCATTAACCCTACAGGTAATCAAAATAGCCTGTTAAAGATACAAGATCAGTGGTTGAGGTTGGTTACTGAAAGGAAACTGAACTGGTTCCACCTAATACCACAGCTTGTGGATCATGTATTGCATTTTTTAGGTTAAGAAAAATAGGTAAAAATAAATTTTCTTTCAAAACTAGGAAAATAATACTTTTGTATAAGGCTGTTTATTGTCAGCACTCTATTGTGGTATGTGGTTGAATAAGGGCATAGGGTTTGTATATAAAGAAAAGGTGACAACATATTTGGGCAAAGACATGACAGGAGCAAAAATGGCTACTATCAATTTTACAGAAAGAACTCCATTTCACTCGCACCTTCACCATGCCTGTTTTTTCATCTAAGAGGAAGAATCCTTGTTTGCCTATTGAGTGATTTGCCAAAGACCACCTTACGATGGCCAACTAAATTTCAAACATGTTTGATTTTCTCCTGACCTTACGATGATCGGGAGGTGGTCATGAGAGGCTGATCGCCCCTCTTCACCCCCTGTATATTAAACGACACATGATCAGGCTAAAAGTCTGCCTCATCTAAGGTTTTCTCCTACAACTGGAGAGTCGGCACGAAAAGGGCAAAAATCGTACAGTGTGTACCTTGCTTAGGACGTCTGAGGCCTGGTTTACAATACAGCGCTGACTAGACGCAGTAGTTGTCCCACAGAGAGTTCCAGACCCTGAAGCCTTAAGGATTGAATCGACAGGAGAACGGAGCCAAACAGACAAAGAAAGGCAGGATAATCCAGAGGGCAAATTAAAGGGGCAGATCCAGGTTCAGTCCACAAAAGGAATCTAACAGGTGTCCAAAGATAGGTCAGGCAAACAGACCAGAAAAGGGACAGGCAGACTCAGAGGTCCAAAAGCAAAACAGGTCAGGATCAGGCAATCAGAACACTATCAGTAATACTAGACTAATTCTCACACCAAATGCTCAAGGTCCAGAGACGGTGGGGGCCACAGAGAGTTCAGCAGCAGCAGCGTCTAGCTTCTAGCTAGAGATTGACTGATCAGAGTAGTCTCCTAGCTCTTCCCAGAGAGCTGATTGGAGTCCAGGCTGAGATCTTCAGGTTTGGCTTACTTGGGCAGGCAGGCAATCTTCCAGGTTAAGCTCCTNCTAGCTTCAAGCTAGGGATTGACAGATTAGAGTTGTTTCCCAGCTCTTCCCTGAGAGCTGATTGGAGTCCAGGCTGAGATCTTCAGGTTTGGCTTACTTGGGCAGGCAGGCAATCTTCCAGGTTAAGCTCCTCCAGAGCTTCAGACTTCAGTCGGCTTTTCTATGAGCAAAGAAGACAAAAACAGGTTAGATGACTAGTCTCTCTCAAGAGTCCACTAGTGATCATAAGATAATCAGAGGCTCAGGCTCGCTAACCAAACTTGGTCAACACTGCGGCGTCGAAGGAAGGTCTGGCTGCTGCTTAAGTAGTGTGGTCTTCTGATGAGCTGAAGACTCCCAGGTGTGCTGAGAGCCCCAGCTCAGGACAGGTGGCAGATCTCCAGATCCCAACACTCAGGACATGTGAGACTTTTCCTAAATAGATAGAGCAGCTAAGTAAAGACAATTTGCCATTAATTAAACAGCTGGTGTAACTGAATAATTTTACAAGAGACTGTGGGTTTTTGAGAATCAATAAATAGTTCCTAATTTAAATTTAAAGTATCGAATTCAAACATGAAATTATTATCAACAGTGAAACTTATCTTCCTGAGTTGAAAGCTTTTTAACCTGATCTATTTTGAATTCTGTAATTTTCTTATTCAAGCAAAACTTGTAATATCTTTTATATAGTTTTTGTAGCAAAGTTTCTTTTGTTTTTTGGGTTGGATGTTCATGTTTATTTCCTAAATGAATACAGCAATTTAATGCTAATTACTCTCTTTTGAATTTAAGCTCTTTGTCTCTTTGTGTTTTAATCAATTGCTCCTCTAAATAATTTTAGTGTTCGGTATTGAATACTTTCAAATTTTTGTAGATTTATGTCTGCTCTCAACTGTTGCCTGTCTCGTAATGTTGCTCTTGTTGAGCAGTCGCATTAGATCAATTGCGATCCATGGTTTTCTATTTGGGAAACATTTCACTGTTCTGGTAGGGATGGTGTTATCTACACAGAGTTTTAAGTAGTCAGTCACACACTCAACCATTGCATTGATGTCGTCTTCATGTGGCTTACACATTGCATTCCAGTCTGCAGCCTCAAAACAACCTTGAAGTGTTTGTTCATCCTCCTGAGACCATCTTCGTACAGTTCTTTTTACTGAATTTTGGCTCTTATAAAGTGACTAATACTCTGAGCAGAGAAAAACAAAATTTTGATCTGATTTTCCAAGAGGTGGTCTTACTACACAGATGTATGAGTCCTTGACATTTGAATAATGTCAGGACAATCTAGAGGGTGAAGCCAAAGCCAGGGTCGAGCCAGAAGATCAGAGATGCAAAGAGGTACCGAAGGGAAATCCAGGTCGGTGTCAGGAAGCAGTTCCAGGTTCTGTAAACAGGCAGAATCCAGCAGGAGTCTGAAGACAGGTCAGGCAATCAGATCAGAACAGGGGCAGGCAGGCTCAGAGGTCCAAAGGCAGAAACTAGTGAGGATCAGGCAATCAGAAACAATAATACCCGCAAGAAAACTCTTACCAAGGGCTTGAATAATCTGGCACAGATGACTGAAAGAAGGGAGGTTAAATGGAGAATATAGAAGGGGAAACATAAGAGTGGTAATGAGAAACTGGGCGGGGCTAAATGACATGGGATATCAAGACAGTCATCAGTGCCAAGACATGACACATAAAACAAGTCCAACATTTTGGTTTCTATGGTGCAGCAGCTGACAAACTGTAGGAACACTGGCAGTGTAGCACTAATTTAAACAGGATCAATTTATTGCTTCAAATGCATTTGATTGTAGTGTTTGAAACCTAGCAACCACATAACTAATTACATCACATGCAGTGTCGGCATGGCAGAAGGTGGAGTAAGCGGTTAGAAACAGAACATTGTTTAACTCTATAGGCAGATTATAGGGCAGCAGTTCAACAACTGGCTTTCATTGACAAATCTTCAGAGTAACATTTTCTGGAATACCCCATATGTTGTTCACAAGCAATGCCAACCCTCCTAAAAGTTTTCCAGTCTTTTATAAATCTCTGTCTGTTCGTTTGGTTTAGAAAGCCTGGCAGAGAGACCCTTGATTTCGAGATGTGATCCTGCAGCTATGTTTCATTAAAACACATTAGGCTGCATTTCCGATATTTTGGCTGGGTTCTTGCTAGTGCTTGAAGTTTTTCTAAATTACTTATAAAATAGAAATCTGCCCATGATTATTAATGAAAGAGCTAGCATATATGTCCCATTCCTCTCTTGTCTCCTTGCTCCTGCTCTGCATCCCTGGTGCTTCTTTTCAACTCAGCTGGAAGTAGTTGATGTAGTATTTAAGGTTTTCAGATTTTAATTAGCTGCTCCTGGGTCGGAAAAATCAACTTGCTTTGGTTGATGTGATTATATATCATAACAAGTATCTAAAAACGAAAAAAATATAAGTAAAATCTTTCTAATTTCACAGCATTCAAGACCAGAAGCAAAAACATAAGAAAAGAAGAAATTCTGATCCACAAATGGAAGAGTGAAGTTCTCGTAAAAAAGAATATCATATTCAAGCTAGCAGAGCTAACCAATTTGAAGCCACCTATAACAGCACAGCTCCAGAATGTAATTCAATTCAAACATGCCCCGTACTCTGCAAAACTACAAACATTCCAACAGTTTGTCAGCTGGTGTACCAGAGAAAAGCAAAACTTTGGAATTGTTTTATGCGAATGTCAAGGACTCACACATTTTTGAAGTAAGACCTCCTCTTGGGAAAGATGATCACAGTCTTGTTTCTATGCCCAGAATTTATTAAATGTGAACAACTTTTTCCTCTCCACTGTCGATTCAAGCATGTTCAGTGAGAGGGATTGTTGTAGAGTCAAAAACAACATGCATTTGCATTTGCTTGTTGCTACGAGCTCATTAATAACAATGTTGGCCTGCAAGTCAATGACTTGATGCAATCAGCTTGCTTGTTTGTTTTTTTTTTTTTTGGGGGGGGGGGTTACCAGTATGACTGTATGATATGATTTATTTGTCTCTATAAAGTACCTTGATATGACATGTTGTGAATAAAAAAACAGTATAAATAAAACTATATTAAGCTGAATTGAATTAATTGCATTATGGTATACCATTCAATCTTAGTATGAGGTTGAAGTATCACAAAATGACCAGAAGACGGTTTGTTATTATTATTATTATTGTTGTCATTGTTGTTGTTTTTGTTATTCATTATCATTATTATTATCTCAGTCATACAATAGTGAACTAAATTGTTTTTGCAGATGCAGAAAAGTTCATCTCTGTGAGTCAGACAAACTCAAAGATGAGGAATCAAGGACTGACAGCTCGGAGACTAGGGGCAGCAAAGAGCATCAAAATAGAATGTGTGCCTCCAACTGTGGTCAAAGGTATAGCACAGTATTTTAGGCACATAGCTTTGGAGTGGCTTTGCGTATAATCTTTTTTATCAGTAAAAAAAAAAAAAAAAACTTACCTAAATGATGTAAATTTAGTTCTGTTGTGATAGATATTATGGAAAAGAGCTTATGTTTTCGGAATCAAGTGTTAAATGAAAAGCTAATATCTAAACTGACAGTAACTTTAGCCTATTTTCAGAAACTTAGAGCAACGGTGTTAGCAAGGCAGAGCAAGGCTTTTATATAGAATTGTGAATATTTGTTTATTTATATTAACTTTTTCACCTGATTTGGTTACAGACACGATTGAGCTATATTTTGAGAAGAACTGGGAGCTGCCAGAGCACATACTCATGATCCCAAAGGAGCAGGCGGCCATCGTTACATTCAAGGACCCTGAAGGTTTTTCTCATCTTATAATAATATTGAAGCTCAATGCCTAAAAATGCTGTCTGCGAATAAAACATAACAATAACACTGACAAACAATTTTTTTTTTTTGGATAAAGCAGTCGGTACTACACTATAACCATCTGCTTAGACGGGCCTATTTGCTCATCAGTTTTATCACCCATACCACTAAGGGAGGGATATGTCTCTGATAGTGTACACAAAGAAGGAAACATCTTTGACCATGAACAGAATTGATTCCAGACATGTTTAACAAAATCATTGATATAAGCTCAATTTACAAAGGAAGTCTTTTACTTTCTGTCTTAGGCCTGCTTTCTTCTTGACCAAAGCCATGGGAACAGCAAAATAGGGCAGAACTACTAAATGTATTCAAATTTATCAAAGTCTCTAGCTGCAGTTTCCTGCCTTTCTACTCCTGACAACAGAATTATGATAAAAGGTGATGCCAGACCCTCTCTGGTCATCCTAAGCCATCTAAATCTTGGTTTATGCTTCACGCGTCCGCAAAGTCCACATTGGCAAATTACTATGCAAATGGCTCCATAACGAAAATGTGCTTCAGCTCTCGCTCGCGAGGGTTTTCAAATGTAAACATTTAAATTATCCCAGGACTAGCTCACAAATATCACCACTATCAACAGATTGTGGAAAAACACCTAGAAAGAATTAGTGTTGCTCTCCAAAAGCATGAGGAGACCTTGATAATAGTATAGGCTGTGTTTTCTACTTCCTCGTGTAGTGTGGTGTTGTCAGCAATCATGTTCTGCCATTATATAAATATTCCGTAAAAATTAAAAAAATATCCACTGGACTTGGTTTCCAAGATTTGAAGATGTTCGCCACCTCTCCAGGAAGCTTTCTCAATTCAAATGTCTGGATCCGCAGTGAGTTTGAGTCTTATAAAACTCAGTGCGGATCCAGACATTTGAATTGAGAAAGCTTCCTGGAGAGGTGGCGAAACGTCTTCAAATCTGGGAAACCAAGTCCAGTGGATATTTTTTTAATTTTTACGGAATGACTATGACCTGGATGACTGAGAACCTTCATCAGCATATATAAATATTAAACCAGTGGTTCCCAAAGGGGGGGCGCAATGCCATTGCAGGGGGGGCGCGGGAAGCGGTATGGATAAATGAAGAAAAAAAAAAAAAA